TAGAATACATGACAGGCGTATTCAGTGTGCCTCGCAGGACTGCGAGATGCTGCAGAAGACCAGGTTCGACCTTTCTGGACCGCCATTCACCGACGGTGGGCTACACGATGCTGGAGGAACTAGATTCCAGTGAAAACCCAAGATTCCTTTGCTCCTGGACGCTCCGACGTGTTGTGATATCTGCCAGGTGAGCAGTAACTAGTATTTTCATCGCTATAGCGAGGACGACGCCGATCGGCAAACTCTCGCTCACAGCCATCACCAGCCTCTCAAAACCATCACTTGGCATCCCCCAGAGGTATAGGAGAAAGCCAAAACAGCTCTCAACAAACAAAAGCTAAGGACGAGGGAAAGAGAGCATGTCAAAAAGAAGACGAACAGTATGAAGTTCAAATGGGTTTGAACACTCGTACCACCAACTATACCACTTTCAATAAATCGTGACGCCATTTTGTTTTAACACGCATACGGTCCATTCACTAAACTGAGGGCGAGACAAATAGCTCTTATGCACATTGACGTCACGCTTCGCATGACATCATCGCTTTGGCGGAGCTCGCGACCGGCTTGGGGGGACGGAAAAGTGAAACAAGCCGGCTGTCACTCGACAACTGCATTTTCCTTTGTCTTCCTTCGGCTTTTTGGTGTTCGTCCCAAATAAATCTCTTCCTAGTCTGGTTGTTTGGAGTTCCCTTGAGTCTGTAGATTTAGTAGCCGTTAATTCAACATGGCTCACGGCTGCTGCGTCCCTCTCTGCACCAATCAAGCAGATACGCACCCTGATCTTGCTTGGCATGGCTTTCCGAAGGATCCTGTGGAAAAGAAAACGTGGCTAGTGAAGATCCGGCGAGATGAGCGAACCGATGTGGCCAACGATCACCCGGAATACTTCAAAGTGACGGATTCTACCAAAATATGTTCTGCCCATTTCAAACCGGAAGATTACTGCCCCGGAGATCGAAAGCGTGCAGATAAGAAGACTGATTATATCGAGGAGAAATTTAAACCGGAGAGCAAAAGTTTTTCCTTCAATATTTGCTTGGACAGACAGCAACAAGCCGAAGCGGAAGGAGCCTGCAGTTCGTTCTGCACCGCCACCAGCCACGCGCAAGAAGGTCGAGACGAAGATCGTGGAGGAGAGCCCAGTAGCTGCATGCGGTGGCAGCGAGGACGACGTTCACACTTTGCCAGGTGAGAGCAGCAGTACGCTCGTGGGAGACGGCAGTTGCGGTGTGAGCAGGGGTGTGTGTGAGGCGGATCACGATTGCTCGTGCTTCAAAAAGCTCCAGGACAAGCTCGAGCTAGCTGACGCGAAGCTAGAGGAGCTGCAAACTAGGTACGATGCGCTGGAGCAGGAGAAGTACTTTTCTAACCCTACGCATCCAAGTGCCATGTCATATGACCGCGTCAAACAGGACCACCATTTGGTGAACTATTACAGCGGGTTTAGCTCAGCCCTAATGTTTATGGCATGCTTCAACTTCCTGCACCAAGCGGCCCAGTCTATGAGGTTGTGGAAGGGTTCGGCGTCTGCTCCAGAGGACCGATCTCAAGAAGGCCAGAAGCGTGGCCCGAAGCCAAAGCTATCTCTCGTTGACCAATTCTTGCTGGTCATGATGCGCCTTCGCCTTGGACTCGGCGAAGTTGACCTGGCGTTCCGCTTCGAGATCTCGCAGTCCACTGTGTCCCGTCTCGTAACATCATGGGTCTCTCTAATGTACCATAAGTTTAAGCAGCTACCTGTCTGGTTGCCGAGGCGGACAGTGAATTCACTGATGCCACCCTGCTTCAAGGTCTGGTACCCCACGACTAGAGTAATTCTTGACTGCACTGAGTTCTTCATCCAAACACCTACCTCTCTGGCCCGTCAATCCTCTACCTGGTCTAATTACAAGAGCCACAATACAGCGAAGGGTCTCATCGGCATCGCGCCGCATGGCCATGTGACTTTTGTCTCTGATGCCTACGAAGGGTCAATCTCGGACAAGGCCATCACCGAGAGCAGTGGTCTGATCACCCTCCTGGAAGCTGGTGATTCAGTCATGGCGGACAAGGGCTTTGAGATAAAGGACTTGCTCCTGGATGTTGGTGTTCGCTTGAACATTCCCCCGTTCAAGTCCGGTGACCGGCAGATGGCCCCGGAAGACCTCCTGGCCACTAAAAAGATAGCGGCAGTACGAATTCATGTCGAACGGAAAATGCAACGAATCAAGGCATACAAGATTCTGGCTGGCAACATAGAGAACACATTGTTTGACCACATACACACTCTGGTCTTTGTCTGTGCTATGCTGACAAACTTTGAAGGTGCCCTTGTGGCTTAGTTCTCAGTTGATCATCAGTTAGTGGTCTGGACAGACTATGCATTTGCATTTGAAAGACTGTAGTGTTCTGAACCACTGCCTGTTTGACCTGGCAGTTATCGCCTAAACGGCCATAGTACTCTTTTAGAAACTTTGCCGGTTCTCGCCGTCAGTCTGTTGAAGCCCAACGCAACACATATAATGATTGCATGTGATAGCAGTTCAGTGGCATTTGCCGAATTTATTATGGACAAATTGGTTATGCGTATTTACACGCATGCAATAATATCGGTGATTGTACGTGCTAGCAGTTCAGTGGCATCTTCCGAATTTAATTTGCACAAAATGGTTATGTGTATTACACACATGCAATAATATCGGTGATTATACGTGACAGTAGATCAGTGGCATCTTCCGAATTTAATTTGCACCAATTTGTTATGCGTATTACACATAAGCAATGATGTCCCGGAATATCGTTCTCCACAAGCAACAGATCCATTTGTGAACGTGACAATCAAAACTACAAGAATCGACTGCTGAAATTCAAAAGCTGACAAAATAACTACAACACCAGCACACGCATAAGAGAAGGCAGTGGCGGTGGGAACTAGGGTGTGTGTTCGGCAGACCACGGTGGTTCCTGCTTCAAAAACGGAGATGATGACCTGGACCTAGCTAACACCAAACTAACAAGAGCTTCGAACAAATCAGGCACTGATGCAGGAAATATGGGAAGTGAAGAAGAACCAAACTCACTTTTTTACTTCCGCAGTGCAGTGCTCGAATCGATCCCCCCAAGCGGGTCGACGAGAGGCAGCCTGACGTCATCGATGACGAAATGTGCATAAGGCCTATAGTCAGTACTCCCCGCGATTCCGTCTAGCTGCTGTGATCAAGTGATGCTAACAAGCTCCCCGTTGTTACTTCCAGCAGCTTCACTTTCCCTGCGACAGCGGCTATCAACCTTTCTGTCCATCGTCGACAATTATCACAGATTCAACAGTCTACATTTGTCAGCACTGCACTGGGTGAATATGTCTCGAGACGAATTTAGCAGATCAACAACGCTTTGATGGAGATAAATTCTCCTCTGGAGGACCTTCAGGGTACCTGGAAGGGTATAGAAGACGGGATCGCTCACGACGTTGAGAGAACATAGAAAACAACCTCCTCTTCGATTGAAAATTGGCCAAAAAGTATGTGAAATGTATGTGCGCAGATGCATTTCCACTGGCAAGCTAATCCCTCATTACGTCATCAGCGCTCGCTCGGCCGAAATTCAAAAGTCGTCTTCCTGCTCGACTCGATCGCTTCTGGAGACTCGTTCTTGTTCGAGGGGTCTTCTCTTTCACCAACCTTCGTCTCGGCATCGAAAACTCGGCGTCGAAAATGAAGCCGGAGTGCCCTTTAAAAGCTCATCGGTCCAGGGTCGTATCTCCCAGGCCTCGCTGTTCGGCGTCAAGTCGCAGCACTCACATGCCTGTACAAGCTGCATTGGATTGATGGTCCCCCAATCCCGACAACCATGACACCACTGAGGGCAGTTGCTAACCAGCACCGGCGCTCCACTGGCCACCAGCAAGAGAGGAGCAGCACCAGCACCAACTAGCACCGACACTGCCGGCCGGAGCCCGTAATAGTGCTCTCCGGTCATTCCCCCATGCCACGATCCAAGACTGGAATCGTGTCCCATCTGCCCTGCTACGCAACCTTTCCACGCAGAAGGGAATGCAGGCATTCAAGGAAGGTGCCTACAAGGCTCTCCCCAGTGGAGACTTGCACTCAGCCACAGATGCCCTCTGAACCTTCCCTGAATACCCTCTCCGCTTGCACCCTTGCTCCCCCTTTTTACTCTATCACATGATTGTATCATCTTTCCATTTTTCACCCTCTATACAAATGTACTCCCCCCTCCCCTCCCCCCTGTGCTTACTCCTCCCCACGTTTTGGTGCACAGTGAAGTGTCGCTGAAGCCGAGACCTCAGGTCGGCGGAGATGCTCCAGTTTCACCACCACAGTTGCGCTGCAGCCACCTTTATCATGCAGTATTCTGTTCTCGAGGTTCGTGGTTTCTCGTAAAAAACAAAAAACAAAATAAACAAAATAAAAAGACTCTAGATCTTCGACAGGTCTTCTTGCCAGAGAAATCCGACCCGTCACCCGTGCTCAAGTGCGTGTCGTGCAAGGGCCGCATACCCCCCCCCCCCCCCGCCCCGCCCTGCTAGTAATTCATGTGGTCGGATTTCTCCGGGCCAAGACTGTACCGTGCACGTCAAAGAAGTACGTGATTGTACCGTGAATCTAATGACGGTTAATTTACTGTATCGGTAACTACATGTAAGTCAGAGCTAAGGCCGACATCACGTGGACGTGCAGGGACCAGGGGTGTCCTGCTGCTGCTGCTGCTGCTGCTGCCCTTCCTGCTCACACTGACAGTAACAACAGTCCCTTTCCTGGCCTGCCCTTGCACTTGAACCCAGGCACCCAAACCCGGACACCAAAAACCCGGTCTCCGGTCACCCAAACCCGGTCACCCAAATTGCAAACCCGGTCCTGGTCACCCAAACCCGGTCCTGGTCACCCAAACCCGGTCCTGGTCACCCAAACCCGGTCCTGGTCACCCAAACCCGGTCTCCGGTCACCCAAACCCGGTCCTGGTCGCCCAAAGATCCTGAAACACAACTTTGCCTTGATTGCAATCAGCATAATTTTTATTGTGCGAACTTACAAGAGTACAGGAAAGCACCAGGCGTAGAAACTAGAATCACGGACACAGTCATGGCGTAAATCACCTAGAATGCAGATACATACACAAAAGTGACAAAACTCACTACAGTCGATAGGCAAGTACGGGTATTTGCTTTCGGAGGATAGGACTCGGATGGAGAGCCAAGGATAAATTTATAGAAAAGAAAACGGACCAAGGACCAACTACCAATTACTAAATAACTGGTGGTGTTAGTGGACATTATAGCGTAACTTGTAGTCCCTTCCTCATTTTTTCTTTTCGAGGATTGTTATCAAAGAAAGAACGAACGAAGGAAAGATACAGTTGAACCCATTACTAAAACAGGCAAGAAAAACGAAATTGTCATCTCTGCGGGGTCTTCTCCATTAAACAGTGAAAACGCCTAGAACAGTTGGTCAGCATGACAACTTGTAAGAAGAATGATTGCGTATCCTTCTATGGCGAGCGAAGCTGTTCATTCCTGGGACTCAGGATTCGGCCGCTGCCAATTCGGCTTTGTACACATGAGTGATGAAGTCCTGGATTCGTTTGATGAAGGCGGCAGGCATGGAGGCGATTCTGGAGTTGATCGCGCTGGCCGGTACACTCATCTTGTACTCTGCTTGCAGAAGGTGGCACATGGTTGCTGCGCATTCATCGCCTTCTGTGTCGCGGATAATGAAGCTTGCGCACAGTGTATTAGCTCTGGAAAAGAACAAAAAAAAGAGAAGATGACTTGTGTAAATGTGGGTGTGTGTGTGTGGGGGGGGGGGGGGGGGGGCGTGGGGGCGTGTGTGTGTGTGTGTGTGTGTGTGTGTGTGTGTGTGTGTGTGTGTGTGTGTGTGTTTGTACATGTGTGCATGTGTGTAGGCGTGCGTGCATATCCGTACAAACATGCATAACAATAGCGTGTGATAGACACACCAACACTGGCAACAGGCAAACAGATAGAGTGAATGAATTAGAATTCTAATACCTCAATTTATCAGTTTTCGTGGAGACAGAGATGGAATCAACAAAACAAGTAAAGCAAGTTGCGCTTTCAAAAATCAAACACACACCATTGGCACAGGTTAGATTTCCTTGAACGTTTTCGCTGCCATCTCTTCAGAAGGAATTTACTGGCAAATGCTAGTAACCAAAATAAGTCATCTGCATTTTATATTGACATTCTTCACTAGTACAACGACGATTCCAGATGAGTGTTGTACGAAAACTTGCTTGAATCCATATTTTTTCCCTACACCATTTCTTCATATTTTCATCGTTTTATTGCACATCGTCTCCACCGTTTTTTACATTGCATGAATAAAGTACACAAATGTCGGTTCAGCTAGTTCTATTGATTGCGGTTATCAAATCTTCACTCAGTTGGAAATATTCACGGTCGGGGGAATGGAAAATGTTTAGAGTCTGAAGATACAATCGACTGTCACCACCAGGACTCGAACCCAGGACCGTTCGCTTGGGGCCAGCGATGCTCTAATCACTGAGCTATGGTGTAGCCGGCATGCAAGCAGAGGCCGTTCATCTGGAATATGAAACATAGCGAGAGACTGGGAGATAGGCATGCAGGCGTACAGACGGTTTACTGCACTACAAAGGTTTTGCGCTTGCATTCCAGATGTTCACGATAGAGACACGCGAAATCAAGTGCACAGCTACGTCAAAATCCTTAGTCTCTTACCTGACCACCCCAGATACCTTTGGAGCAAGGTCGGTGTCGATTTGCTTGTTGATTGCACACACTTCGGTGGGAGTTCTGCGACACACTTGCGCAACAACGAAATCCCGATCAGAGACAAACGGAACAGTCATGGGACAGCGTCTGCAAAGGAAAGGAGTCAAGAGCAAAAGAACTAGTGAACCCTGGTTTTATCCTTTTCAATTTCTTGAAACTTATGAACACTGGTTTTACTCTTTTCTCAAACTTATGAACGCCAGGTTTACCCCTTTCAATTCCTCAAAACCTATCAACCCTGGTTTTACCCTTTTCAATTCCTCAAAACTTAGGAATTTTAATTCCTCAAACTTAGGAACCCTGGTTTTACCCTTTCTAATTCCTCAAATATAATATGTTTGAGGAATTAGAAACTTTTCAGTTTCACAAGTATACTTCATATTATGAAGACATATTATGAAGTATACTTGTGAAACTGAAAAGTTTCAAGATGTTCGTAAAGAGCCTGAAGTGTGTTCTTTTTCTGAGTATTATCGCGTGAGGAAACTGCGAACATTATGAACCCTGGCATTACCCTTTTCAACTTCTCACCTGGTTCTGTTTGCTTGGTGATATCACTGCAAAAAGCTGATAACATTGACCCTCCGCCCCCTACGTAACCATGAACCTTCCAAGTTGGAAGGCTGTAGGTTTGCGCACTGGAGATGTGCTAGAGCTAGGTCTCTGGTCGCTGAATGTCTCAGTAGCCTGTCAGTGTTGGAGTGTGCCCTATTATCACACTTTCTGACTGTTTATCATCTTGTTGCAGTCGTGGATAGTTGCTGCATAACTCGTTTCCATGTGATTTCTTCTATTTTAATATTGAAAACATTTTTTGCGCCCCCCTTTTCACATGTGCTACATGTTCCTGTCCCAGCCATGAGCGCGTGTCGTTATCACCTGACCTTGTTATCACCTTTGTCACTTAGGGTATGCCACGTTTCTATGCAGAATGAGCGCAAATACACCAATTTAGCCCTTTAAAGATCAGTCTATCCTAATTATTCTTTCATTCAACATCATATGCCTCCACTGATGAGCTGAGGAGGAGCAAAACAGCTGTCTGGAGGGTCATTGTCAATATCAATCTATATGCCGGAATTGTCCTCGCTGTGGTGATGGTGATGTGAGCGCAGAGTTTGGATTAGGGACCGGCGAATTCTGCTCGAAAAGGTGGCAGATTCTGCTCGAAAAGCAGTGAAATTGGCAGAACCATACAAACCTTATGGCGGGCAATTCCTCGAATTCTGCTCCATTTCTTTATCCACATACCAAACATGCATGAAACTTACCAGAAAAAGTACCGAATTCTGCCAATTTTTCTGCCGGCAGAATCCGCCGGACCCTAGTTTGGATCGGCCAAGAGTGCAATGACATATGTGGTGGTGTGGTGTATTGGATTCCATGGATAGTTGTTGTGACTACTGAAGTAGATCTTATCGTACACTGCTGTCAGCAGATATGGTATTGGCCCGTACTTGTATGTACAGGCTGTCCTATACTTCCCTTTTCAACGCCCTCAACCTAGTGAACAAGAACACAGAGGCAGTGCGCCACATATATATATATAGCTGGTAGCTCGGCCTATTTAGCTCATAGCTGTACTGATGAGGCCTTTATGGCCGAAACAGCTTGCTGTCTACAGCATTGGGTGTGTCTATATATAATAATGCGAGTCCACAAAGGACGAAACAGTTCTGTCTGCAGATTGAGTATTATATATTATATAATATATACCTGCAATAGTGCCCAAATGCCCGCAGCGGGCAGAGCGTAGTACGCAAGACGTACACAAAAGGAAATAAAACAAGGCTGTTTCTTTGTTACTCAGAGAGTTTCATGGTAAGAACCCAACCATCAGACAACAAAAAAACATGTTTTCCTTTCTCTCTCTTTTACGTCTTCAATGCTTAGGATGACAGACACCGCACTCACGTATATAGTATTCTGTGATCCCCGAAGTCCTTGACGATGCGATACTCCTTGAAGGTGGTGTCAAAGCGCACTCTCAGAGCAGGTGCAAACATTAGCTCACACACTGGAGCAGCGGGCAATGACAGAGGCGAAAACATCGAGCTCAGGTTTGGCAACATTTTTTTGCGACGTATTGATGTTCGTCAATTTCACGAGGAGAGCTTAACGCAAATATCAAACAATCGTGAAAACAAAGTTGACATCATTTCTTATGCTGCAGTGTGCGATACATACACATTAGCAAACCTATCCTGAACCAACGGTGGACAAAGCCCCGTTCAATCCTGGACACACTTGTGCCAGGAGACCTGTGTTGTGCGCTGACACCCTGGTCAAACGTTGGAAAATTAATCATTCGTGCGGCGGAGCAAATAATTGACGTTGTCGGGGCAGCAGTGAGGGAGTTGCACACTCTTTGGGGTTATGTACGGTGGATTATAGGTAAACTATGACACACTTACACTGCTCCCTTGTAACACCTTTGATGTGGTAGTATGTCTGCAGAAGCATCCAAATTTCACACACACACACGCACACACACACACACACACACACACACACACACACACGCGCACACGTACACACACATACACACGTACACACACATACACACACACACACACACACATACAAACACAGACACATGTACACACACAAACACACACACATGCACACACACAAACACACACACACACACACACACACACACACACACACACGCGCACGCACACACATGCACACACACACACGCACAAACACACACACACACACACACACACACACACACACACACACACACACAACGGATGATATCCAGCTGGGCCCGCCGACCAGATTGGACAAATTTAGGATAAGTGATAAAACATCACCGGGGCTTGCTACTTCTAAAGACACTTGTCTTTGTTTTCCATTAGAAATACAGGGGCAGTGGAAACGCTACTGTCACTAGTCTACGGTATTGACCGCCCCACTGTTTAATTCCTGTACTACGGCTATGCAAAATAAGTTACTTTAGTGGGTCTGGCGCTAGACAGGGTGCACACCGCTCTAATTCGGTGTGTGTTTGTGTTGTAGGGCTTTTCACGTGACCCGCCATGGTTGGAGTTTTTTAATTTTTTAATTTTTTTTACCACTTAAATGCCAAACATGAGATGCAGCTGGGGGAAGCACGCACAACCTGAATCGTGTATCCCGTGTGTGTCCCGTACCATCTCGTACCGTCCCGTTCCGTACCATGCCGTACTGTACCATAAAAGAAAGCAGGCCACATATTTTCAGTACTTGTGTTCAAATTAAACTGACCGCTTATTATCTAGTTGCATTCGTGGGTAGTTGCTTCATAACTCGTTTCCATGTGTTTTCTTCTCCTATTTTACTAGTGTTCAAATATTGTTTTGGTCAAAAGCCTCTCCTAAGGGCAAAATAAGCAATAATTCTTGCGGTGAAGGAAAATACTACCGGTATAGCTGTACATTGTATGAGTCATGCTCAACTGAAGATCACCTCAAGAACTACAGTTACATGAATGTGCCATGCAGGATGTCCAAGGTTAGCCAGGCAAGCAGCACTCTGAGACCATCAGCGATGCGGAGCCCGTCGCGTCGATGCTACAGTGTGAGGGCGACCACGGTGACCTCTGAGGCACGCACTGGCCGAGCGAATCAGCGCAAAGCCAAGCCGACACCTGATAACGTTATAAGCCATGATGACCGAATACGGCGCCTTCCGCTTCTCGCAAAACATAGTGGCGAGGCGATTGTAAAGTGCACTAGCGGCCTTGCCCTGCCGTCCAGTGGCGCTGAACACGAGTGGTACAAACACCGCATGTTCGACGTCCCTCTCATGCTCCTAGTAGTGTCAGCGTTTCTCACATTCATGCTTGGCATAATGCTTTCAGGGATATTCTTTACGCAGTAGTCTGAGTTCTTTCTTTGCGCTAGTAATTTTCAGGCCGTGTTCCCGTTCAGTGTCGAGATGTCTTCAGGTTCTCTTTCTGGTTCTGGGGGAGCTGTTTGTGTGCTGGTGACGGACAACGAGGTGAGTATAGCGGCGTCGGATATCGGCCTTAGAAATTAAGGCCAAGTTAGACGTCGGTGCCTATACTTTTTCAAGCCGGGCTATAGCGAAGGTGATGAAACAACAGTGTATTAATTTTGCTCAATGTAAATGGCGCGACTTTGATAAAGGTCAAAAACGTTGCTCAAGCAGCACCAGAACGACACGCGTCCAGAGCGTGACGATGTCGAGACCAGTTGGTCGACAGAGCGCCTGTCCCCCACCACCATGGCTGCTGCATGTTCCCATTGCGTGCACCACATGGCTTCTTTTAGTAAAAAATAGACAAAAAAGAGTTGAATATAGCGGCATGGTACGTCAGGTTCACATCAAGTGTGAGTAGGAAATCAGCCTGCAGATCGGTCGGTAGACCCAGATCTGTTTCGCTAGAGCGTTTCCAGAAGCTGGAGTCATCAGTAGGCCAGATGTTCGCTTCCATCGAGAGTTTCATGTCCCGATTCCGATGCGTCTGCTTCCAGTACCTCCTGCCACCGTCCTGATCATGATTAACCAGTTACGTCTGATCTGGCCTCTAGTTGGCCAGCTGCCATGAATGGCGTTTTGACCGGTCCAAAGGCCTCTAGTGTGCTAGTTGCCACGAATAGCCCCGTGACCTGTCTAGGGGCCTCATGTTTGCCCGAGACGTTCCTGGCCTCTGCTTCGGCGTCGCCGTCCGTAGATACTGGTTTGCCCTCGCATGTAGCTGATGATAAGCAAATGAGTGGGGGCTCTCAATCCGTTGCCAGTATTTCGGCGGAGGCAAATGCTTTGCCTGAGGAAGTTCGATCTTTGTTTCGGGGGTTTGTCACGAGCAGACCGATCTCGTGGATATCGATAATAATTGGGACTTTATGCTCGAGGGCGAAGACGAGTCAGGCCCGGACGTGAAGCTGTCTCTGGCAGCGTATGTGACTCGTTGTACTACAAGTAGAAGAGAATACAGCGATAGAAGTTTGCCACATTGAAGGGGCCGCTCAAGCAGCCCTCGAATTCAATTGCCCTACCCTGGTTACGGCTACGACAAGACAACAAGAAACAACGGAGCAAAGATCGCTACGTTTGGAGACTCGCCGACTTCGTTGCAGGATCACTGGATGCGTCGACAGCAAGAAACCGCTGAACAGGTCAGGAGAAAATACGTGATCTTTAACATGCCTTCACCTGTTCCGTGTGCGGTCGGTAGGACCGTCATCACGTGACACACCGTGTCTGGCCTATCCCGTTCATGTCCCGTACCGTGCCGGCAAAGGCTGCTAGCCCCTTGTTGATAGTGGACTTTCAGGTGCTGGATCACAACTTGAAGCAACTTGATTGAATGTGCACGTATGCGACGTGCATCCAAGGTCACCAATGGTATTTCGGAACGAAACGTTTTCGTTTGGAGGTGGGTGGATTTGAAGGAGTTTCGTTTTGAAAAATTAATTATTGAATGCAGATGGAGAATGCCCAGTTACTTCTGGGTGTCAAAAATTGACATCAATATTTTATTGTCATAATTATTGAAATTCGTTTCACCTGCAGAATAGGTGGGTGGGGGGGGGGGGGAAGGGGGTTGAAAAATACTAAAAAAATTCGTTTTGCAAAAACTATTGGTAACCCCAGACGGCCCCTAACATAATGTACATGTATAACTACTTGGTAGAATGTACCTGTCTGGGAATCTGAGTTTTCGCATTACGTATCCATTTGCGTTTATTTTTCAGCTCTTGTTCAAGCCGATAGCTGAGAACTTTCTAATGCGAATAGACCTTTCGATTGCTCAATCCTGTTCAGTGAAAGCCGGGTAACAAAACAATAGAAGCGTCTTTGCAACACAAAAACAAGTGCACGGCAATCGTATTGCAAAGACATTTCCATCAGTTTGAAAAACTCACATGATGACCTAGGATATTAAGCACAGCGAGGGCTCCTGGGCTCTCAGGCCCTCTCACTTGGTGACATCATGATGACATCATCACCAGTCCAAAATATATTCCACATGCGTGACATCACAGAGATGAACTTTGTATTTGCACACCTTGGTCTGGGCTTTACGGCACCTTATGGGAGTCCCAACTGGAGAAAAAAACGTTTGGCAGCAAGTTTGCTTTCGTATTTGCACACTTTGGTCTGGGCTATACGGCACCTTATCGGAGCCCCAACTGGAGAAAAAAAACGTTTAGCAGCAAGTTTGCTGTCGTAACAAAACAAGAACATGTTTGGCTATTCTCCATCTACCCTCCCCCCCCCCCCCCTTACAAAATCTACTTCTCTGTGAGTGTGACATCCCAGATCTCGGATCTGTCCTCGAGCAGGCCTCTTCTAGGCAAGTTATGACGTCATCACGATGTCACCAAATTTAGTGAAAATGTCAAGCTGCTGTAACTTCGGAATGGCTGCACTGATCAGCCTTGGACTTTCACCACCGCTGTCAGTGTAATGTTCACTGTGAGTTGTGAATGTGTAATTTTGGGGTGTCTTCCCCTGAGATTCATGACCTGAAGCTAATCACAGGTATTCGAGCCCAAACTGTAAGGTTCTCTGTGTGGGAACTAACTTGGGTCACATGATCAATCACATGATCGATCACATGATCAATCAAGCAATTCCCATCATCATGTGCTGCAGTACCTCTGGGTGCCAAAGAACAGAGTATCAGAGAACGGACAGGCTAGGATTCCACCAAGCACAGCATGCCGTCATATACGCGGTGACTCCACTGCGTTTAGTCTACTGTACATGAGAATAAGATTGGCCTAGTAGTAGGCTACAAGGCTCCCCCCCCCCCCCCCCCCCCCCCCAGTCTTTCAGCCGTGACCCAACAACACTGTACTTCAAAATTGTATTGATCACCTGACTACAGTGCTTGTGTCAATAGATTTGTGCTTGCGAGTTGGACGCTACAGTACTTGTAGTCTAAGCATGTGCATGTGGTGTGTTGACATCCAGAACCGCATACGTTACACATGTCAAAAACGCCAGATTTTTTCGTTTACTAATTTCAGCTTTTGTAGGCGGCAATGTCAAAGATCAGAAGAGTCTCTGTTTACAAAAATCCCGGATCCGCTCCCGAGATGCACGCTACGGAATGCACACCGACGGCCGGCCTGGCACATAGTCATTCCTTGTCATTGGACACGTTCAGTCCGTTCGGTTTGCGAATTCAAATAAACACAACCAACCAACCACCAACCACACTTTTGTCACGGTTAAGGTTGACAAGGACTGTGTGCGGCCGTCGGTGTGCATTCTGTCTCGTACATCTCAGGAGCGGATCCGGGATTTTGTAAACAGGGACTCTTCTTTGACTTTGCCGCCTACGAAGCTAAAATTAGTCTTTAAGTTGTAGCTACATTTACTATACCTTGACGAGATTCATTCGTTCGTCGCCTCTCCTGCGCACCCACGTCTCGAAGCCATCGCCACTGGCACGATGCGACCAGCCATCTGCAGCCTCCTTGTTGGCCTCCAACTCGAGCAACTGGTCGAAATCGCTGTCCTGCACGGGGCTGACGCTGGTCATAGTGAACTGGGCAGGGAGAACGGTGAAACAAGTCAAGGCCGAGCAAGGGGCGAAGAGCAGACAGTTGGAAAAAAATATCTAGGCGATGGTGATGGCTGATGTTTGCACCTGGCCAGATAGTCAGTCTTTTTCGACTCCCTGGGTTTCGGCCTACTAGTACTAGTACTACAGTCGACTAGTCCTGCCCAATAAATCCGACCACGTGAGTGCACGTGAGCGCCGAGTGCAGGCAGACCTAGACCTGCGAACGTTGCAGACTCTACAGTAAGCCTGAGGACACTGGGCCCATGGGTGTGAACTGGTACATGGTGCAGCACTGCAGGGCGCAAAGATGACAGTAGATCTACCCTCAATCGGATTTCACTTGGAACCGACCGCTATACTGCATGCAGTCCAGTGATGGTGGTCACCGCACTAGCCCCTCGCGCTATGGAGCGTAAAGTGAAATGGCGTCAGGGTTTGCGGACAAGTCGTGTTCTTGCGATTCGGACTCTTCATCTCGGACTGTGTTTGAAATTTCGACAGGACTACAATAGTCAATATGATGTGACGACAAACGCCATTGTACGGTTGTGAGCAGAGGGGACCTTCGTCAAGTTACCGGTAGATATGGGGGCAAATCCGCTACTTATCTCCTGGTGCAAGTTCTCCCCCTCTCTTGCCACTTCGTTGTGCTCTAGAAGCGCGCACTTCGATTGTGTTCATAGTGAACTTCGGCTCGATGACTGAGGCTTTCCCTGCACTATGCTCAACAGGAGTCCGCGATCACCTGTAAGCTGCCAAGGCTTCATTTCGGTCTGCAACCGCATACCGCCCGGCCCGGCCATTGCTCAACACCAGCAAGTTCCGCAGCACTCCGTCCCGGCATGAGACCACTATCCTCAATCAGCACCTCACTGGCCACTGCAGCCTGCTGAACACGTACGTACTGTGGTGGACATGGAAATCCGGTCGCACGTCTAGCGGCCCCAGGGCGCGGGCCATGCAGCCGTGGATAAGCAGTACGCACATGCATTCTGCGCTGTTGCAGTTCTGGTCGCATCGGATCAACATGACTGTGCACGGCATGCACCGGTCCGTTCTGTACGCGCTGAGGGCGCCGGCCCCGGTCAATCGTGGTCAATCGACTGGGTTTCCATGTCCGCGACAGGATATGCTTGTTCCAGATTGAGGCTGCACCTTCACCCGATTGCACTCACTGTCCTGGAACAGTTGACGATGCTGCCCACCTCCTGCTAGCGTGCCTTGCCAGACACAGCAGGCGAGCAGCTACAGTCTATGTGCCTTCACGTCAGTCAGGGACGACAAGGAGGCAATTCTCACACAACCATCAGAAGCTATTCAGTTCTTGCAACTGGAGAAACTGATCTTTCACAGTCATTTTCATATTTATTATGACCTGTAGTTGCCGAAGAAGAAGAAAAAGAAGAAGATCACCTGTAGCTGTGCTAGGCTGTGGCATGGACGGAGCCACAGGTCCGTTTTTGTTTTCTTTACGAGACACCACGAACCTCGAGCACAGAATAGGGTATGAACTATGATAGAGGTGGCGGCAGACGCAACTGTGGTGGTGAAACTGGAGCATCTCCGCCGACCTGAGGTCTCGGCTTCAGCGACACTTCACTGCACCAAAAGGTGGGGAGGAGTAGGCACAGAGGAGGGGGGGGGGGGGGGGGGAGGGTAGGGGAGTACGTTTTGTATAGAGGGTGAACAATGGAAAGATGATACAATTCATATTATAGAGTAAAAAGGGGGAGCCAGAGTGCAAGCGGAGAGGGTGTTCAGGGAGGGTTCAGAGGGCATTTCTGGCTGAGCGCCAGTCTCGACTGCGGAGAGACTTGTAGGCGCCTTCCTTGAATGCCTGCATTCCCTTCTGCGCGGGAAGGTTGCGCAGCAGGGCAGATGGGAGACGATCCTGGACGACTACTAGCGGGATAGTGGAGTAAGAGAGTTTACTCTCCGGGTCATGGCAAGATGATCCTTTCAGCTCGGCATAGTAAAAGATTTCGAAATCTACTCATACACACGAAAATCCGGTGGAACAAAAAAGTGATCAAATGTCTCTACTCACGAGTTTCATGCTGAAAAGCAATCATCAGGAGACTGGGGCTATAGTCGGGGTTGTGTGGTCTTATTCACTATAGGTGTTGTCCCATGGCAGGTATGCAATGCTAGTGAAATCTACTCATATGCATCTGCATAGCCAATGCGCCCTGCATCACGGCACGACGTCGGTACAGCCAAAACAGTGAAACACAGACAGGAATCAACAGCAAATCGCCTGCTGACCCCAGCTGCATGATTATTGTAGTTCTACAACGATGTCATCTGTATGCGTTTGAGAAACTGTGCACGTTTTGGTCTATCGCTGCTAGCTGCTTGTCATCAATTGCTTGCCCCCTCCTTCAATCACTGTTTCTACTGCGTTCAGTTGGCCCGCACACAAATGCTCGCACCGGTACTCGTTTCTATGGATTCGTGATGATGATGCTCCTTCGTCTTATGACAACCTGAGAATCGACCGCTTTTGTCGTGGGAGGAAAACATGGATGCAGTGAATGGGATTTCGGTCTTTGACCACTTGCTGGTGAGCTGATCTACTCACCTCCCACCGCGTTAGGAGCTGCATTTGCGCCTTGCAGGCAGGCATAGTGGGATGGTCTGAGACCATGATTGAGACCATGATTGAGAAACAGAGGGTACATGTACCGGGTTCAAGTCCTGCTTGGAAGTGGAAGGAATTTTTCCAGCCGTGCTGCGACCCACAGTTAATTGGGAACTCGTGGCCTGGCACGAGGGTAACATGGGTGCAGCTAATGAGATTATCGGTCTTTGACCACTTGGTGGTGGGTCTGATCTACTCACCTCCCACCGTTTAGGTGCTGCATCTGCGCCTTGATCCTAGAGGGTGGTGGCTTCCAGCCGAGTCTCACGCGAACCGTGAAATTTTTATTGCGCCTTGATCCTTAAAGGGTGGTGGCGTTCCTACGGATGCGGAAAACTCGGCCTCTAGCCGAGTCTGACGCGAACCGTGAGTTGTTCTTTTTTGTCGTGTGCCTTTCGGTGTAGTCAGCAGTCCCTTTCTCCCTGGAGCTGCCATACAGCACCGGGCGGCGGCCGTTTGGAGAAATCAGGCAGTCTTCGAAGCCGATGTGATCTTGAGAAACACTTATGTTGACAATTGTCATCATAGCCCGGTAAGGCCAATGTTGAAGAAGGTCAGCACTTCTATTCGCACGCCAAGGGGATATTTGCGTCAGCTTCCATGAACCTCAGAGAGTGGGCATCGAACTCCCCAGAGCTATTCATTGCCATTCCCGAGTAGCCCTTTCCCAAAGATGCTCGCCACTTTTTTCGCAACTTGTCGTTGTTTTGTAAAAAATCGCAACCTTCGCAACTTTCTTCATTTTCGCGAACTATGTCTCAACCCTTCCACAGCCTTGGCCCGGCCCCATGGCATGGGGTCAAAAGGTCAAGTCAAAGACTACAATCATAATCGATATGTCGGACAAATGCATACACATATACACGTATTATTATTATTATACGCATTCCCGCGGCAGCGTCAACCAAGCAGTTATGCTTGATCCACACTTTCGCTTATGCTGGACATTATTATTATTATTATTATTATGAAATGACCCAAAGGCAATGTGCCTATCGAGGGGTTCATTTGATTGAAAGAACAGTAGATGTAGATGTATGTACAAAGAGAAGTAGGGATTGATAAGGAGAGAAATGGGGAAAATCAACTGCAAGGTGGCGGAATTCCGTTGATTGCATAAGCATAGTCAGCTGTAAATTTCCTGAGGGCAGCTTTGAACTTATAGAGCGAGGCTTCCGATGTTAGACTGGGGGGTAAACAGTTCCATAGAATAGCAGTTCGGAACATGAAGAGAGACTTAGACAATGATTTAAATTTGGGAAGAATGATTTTATTTATATCATTGAAACAAAGCAGATGTAGACAGCTCCTAGAGAATGGGGCTCTACAAAACCAATGATCGAAGTTAGTCCTACAGTAACATGGAGCGTCATAAAATTGGTCTCATTGGAAAAATGTCATCACTATTGTCTCCTCATGTAGCATCATGGTCAATGGGTGGCCAGATAATTATACGTATGAGGTTGAGTTACCAGATAGTTATTAAAAGATTCAAATAGTAATATTATTATAGAATGGTTGTTATGAGTTTATAAGGGTGCCATGGCTGTTTCTACTCGTGACGAGGGTGTGCACAAACACTCTTCACCAGCGCGTTCCATGCTGGACGGCCCACAGCAATCCGCTCCAGACGGCGCAAGTCCTCAACACTCCGCAGGTGCCCATTGTTCGACTGGGACAGATCGGTGTGGAGCTTTATTGGTAGTGTCACTCTCGGCCTCCCACGGTACCTCCCCTCGGGTGCCTGAAAGTATTGCTCCATGCTCAATCGTGCTGGCGTGTCCTTACCCAGGCGAAGCACATGCCGAATAGACTCCAGCGTGAATTTCGGATCAAGTCCGACACCGGCTCCACTCCACATCGGGCATACAACGCCAAAATTACTAATCTTCTGTGGTCATGTGATGCCGAGAAGTGACCTGAGTTGCCTTCTATGGAAAGCGTCCAAGGAGCGTTCGCTAGATACACGTATACACGCACGTTTCTCGCGTACTTTCACGCGTACTTTCACTGCAGTTTCAGACTCATTTCTAAGAGAAACAGTAGGTCAATGGTAGATACGTTAGGGAGCTATCTCGCCACTTTTTTCACAACGTTTCGTTGTTTAGGAAGAAATCGCAACCTTCGCAACTTTCTTCATTCCCCCCCCCCCCCATACACACCTTGCACCACAACGTCAAGTCGTCAACATCAACCTTACACCCTTCGACAGACAAGGACCTACTCCATCGGACACGCCCACGCAAACAGGCACCGAGATTCCCCCATCAACATTGCCTTCACCCTCTACAACTCACTCCCTATCGACATCACAACCCATCCTCGTAGAAATTCTTTCCGAAACAACGCATCCAGTCTTCTTTTGAGCAGTACCTGTTCCTGCTCCGCGCATCTCCTGGTTTCTGATAATATTATTATCTCGAACGTCTACTTAACCATCTCGATCACCCGTGCTAACGTTATTGCCCCCTTTGTTTTCATGATCCATTGC